CTCGAGGTACTCAAGTATAGCCTTAATTAAATGATTTCATTGTCTTAAATGAAGCCCACTCTTACGAAGAGACTCAAACTGGGATCATTTGTAAGAATTAATTAAGTGTAGATCCCATTCCCACCTTGTGACGTTCCTTGCCCTCTTGAAACCAACCCAAAATGATTATCACTGATCAAAGTTATATATAGGGCTTTCATTGTCTTAAATGATTATCACTGATCATTTTGGGTTTGGTTTCAAGAGGGCAAGGAACATCACATGAAGGTGGGATCTACACTTATTCTTACAATTTATCTTGTCTGCTTGAAAAGTTTCGCAGCTTCCCAAGTTGAATCTACATCACAATTGGTCATTATTCATCCCTGCCTTGAGAGTTTGTAAGTTAATTTTTGTGTGTTAATTAGTGGTGTTGGTAAAACAAGTTTTGATGATGATCTTCCATATATGGGCTTCGAAAAGTTTAAAAGTTTGAGCAATGGGTATATGCACACAATGATTTTTTTAGAGGTAAACCTGAGCTCACTTCGGAGATAGATAAACGCTTCAAAGAATCTCTTGCCCCTAAAATTTTTGTGTTCATGCAGTAACCAAAGAGATCCTCACTTCATGGAGAAAAGGAAAGCTTTTTTTAATGGCTCTATATGAGAAGAAATCTTTAGCAAAGGATGTTTCAAAAATCATTTTATCATGAATAATCACTCATTGTCGTAGTTTGTCGTTCCTTTTTCTTGTATCAATCCCTTAGTGTTGGGGTTTTTCTCAAACTCTGTAACTTTTAATTAACTTTTATGTATGAGATCAATTCTATTTTCCGTTTGGTAACTAATGGATAATACAAAGCTTCACTATAAGAAAAATAGACATTCTTAGCTTACAATAAATCTCATGTAACGGTCTTGCGGCTATGACATACATAATTACAATATGTCAGAGCCGCAAGATAAAGTCACTAATGTGATGGTCTTGCGTCTACTTGGAGCTAATGTTGGAGTACGGCTTTACTACATTATCCATGTGACCATATCGTGACATATGATTTGGTTATTTATTTTGATAGTTATCTAGTTTTACTTTTACCCGATTTTTCGCATAATTATGTTGTTGATAAATAACTGCAGAATCGTAGATCATTATTATTATTATTTTTGTCACCAGAATCGTAGATTAATGAAACAGTCATTCCAGAAAACATCAATCCTCGTATTTAAAATAAATTATACTTTGATAAGGTTATGGGAACAGGCGTTGACAAAGAAATTTGGATTGGAAACTAAACTTTTGATGATACAAAAAAACTCAAGTTATCATCAAAATGTAAATTAAACCACAGCACAACAAAAGACAAGACAATTTCGGAGCATAACGACTTAAGACAGCATACAAGATTAAGCTCCTGCGTTATGACCTTGATTGGCTTGCGGTGCGGTCACGATAGGGTAAGCGACTGGCGTTGTACATCCGCGACCCAAGAAGAAGCATACTGCACAACAACTGATGCATAAGAACACCAAGAATATGAAAAATGGTACGTAGATATAATAGTACGTCATCGCTTAAATCTCTGGTTTTTAATTTAACCGATCTTAAACCGAGAGAAACCGGTAAGCGAAAGAGAAGGAGATGAATAGGGAATGAAGAAACAAGAAAAGAGAGTTGATGGATATATAAGGGAATGCTGTTGGTGTTGGTACTTGACGTTTTAGAAAATGCAAAAGAAATGAAGGCCAAGTGTTCTATATTAACATGAAAGTACAGAGTAAGGGAATATATATGTATCCAAAGTCACATGAAAATTTTAACAGATGATTTTTGTTTTATCATCTTTTGGGGTCACAATGAGCCGTACTATTACCCATATTGCAGTGGAGAAGACTCGATCTTGAAAGAGGTAACACCAGTTCTTGGTTGACTTATGGATGCCACTAGACCGCGGTCAGTTCTCAAGATATTGAATTATTTAGAATTAAATTGAATTTGTCTATAGATACCGTTTTATCATTACATATGTCTTGAGTAACTGTTTATATGAATCTATGGAGTCTTAATTTTCTTATAGTTATTGTAGTTGGTTGAGATTGATTATTATCTGTTGAAAAACCTAGCAATCTAAGTTTGAGCATATTGTATAAGAAGTCGATATGATTTATCAAAATTTGATCTCGCGTTTCTAAACCATTATTTGTGGAATGTACTCCAAGACGTACAGGAAAAAGTGGTCTCATACAATAACAAGTCAAGTCTTGCTTTAAAGTTGACTGAGTTTGGTTCTTTTGTAATATTTTCTGGATTATATTGTATGATTGATTAATATGTTTGGCTGGCAAAATAGTTTTTAAGAATTACTTTTAATTAGTATTAAGTTATTAACTTATCCATGTAGGCTTCGTGGTTTCCACTTCTATCTTTTTGTAAATGTTACTAGGTTTTTTCTTGGCATACTAACTTGTATCCCACGAAAACTATATTTCATAATACTCACAGTGTGTAAAATCTGTCTTCGGCTCTCATTTACTCACAATTGCTTCTTTTCTTATTCAGTTTGGGACTTGAAAAACTGTTGCTGGTATTGTATTGCGAAACATATTTATTAATCTTGCTCTTGAGG